CCCCCGGTCTGCCAGCGGTCGGGGCAGAGGTGGGTAAAGCTGGGAGGATCCTCCTGGAAAACAGCCTTCTCCAGGGGGGGGAAAAATATCACATGTGTTTCAAGAAAAATATCACATGTGTTTCAAACTCACGCCTGATCCCTGGAGCTGCTGCGGGATCGGATCCCCGCTTCGCTTCCTCCCATCCCGTGTCCCTCCTCCTCCTCCTCTTCGAGTTGGTTTGGTGCCCGAAGAGCTGCGAAATGGGTGGTGGTCAAGGTAAAGTGGCTTTTTGGAGCTGCTGCCACGAAATGGCTTCCTGCTGGTGGACATGTTGGGGTTGTGCGTAGAGGCAGTTATTAATTTAAATGCGAGATCAAATGTCAGTGTCCTTTGATTCTCGCCACGCTGACTGTACCCTCCGGAGTCTGCCTCGGTCTTCATCTTGTTAGAGTTCCTGTTAGTTTAACCATAAAGTAATAACTGTGTTTAATATTAAACTAACAATGTAGTTCAAATAAGCTGATGCATATTCATGTTTGGGAGGCAACTTCATTCCTCAGTAATGACTCATCAAATGTAAAATCGGGCATGTTAGCTTCTAATTAAAAAGGCTATTCACAAAGCTAAAACCAAACTGGCTTTCACAATAAACTAATCGCTAGGATTTTGAAGCCTCAGCTGCTTGAGAAATATTTCTACTTAGGCCTGGGAAATGGGAAGGTGACATTTGAAAGACGCTCCGCGGCACAAAAGCCTCAGCTGATTCCAAATTCCTCGAGTTCCTGCTGCATCTGTTGAGGGCAGAAGTGCTCAATCTTGGCTGCTAAAGCTTTAAACTAACTGACAGATGAGAGCTACTGTCAGGACGCTGCCCTTGGGTTGTGCAAGGCCAGCAAAGCTCGGCGCTGTTAAAAGCCCGGTGCGGTGCAGCATCAGATGTTCCACCGGCTATTACTGTTTAGTTCCACGAAACTGAAGCCATTTAGTGTCGGAGCTGCTGAAAAGGATGTTGCCACTAGCGACTTCGAACACTCAATAACTGAGGGCTGTAATTCTGACCGACCGCGCTGGCGGACCCTGTATTTAGGGCTGACTAATCTGAAACAAGTAACCTAAAAGGCAGTTATTTATTGCGTGCTCTTGTTGTTGTGGGAGGTGGGAAGCGGCGGGTCAGGGCGCAGGCAGGGTTTGCTCGCGCCTGGCTGTCAGAGTCAATTATCTGAACCACACGTAACGTGAGGTGCTGTTTTGGGAAGCAGGTCAGCAGCTGCCTAACCCTCTAAATATCCAGCCCTCTGGGGAAAGCGCATACCTGAACCCACTGGCTGCAGCTGGGGAGACGTGCTTCGGGTTGGGACCGGCGGGCTGAAGCCCGCTGGCCTCGGAAGCGGCAAGGCGCTCTGCTCCCTGCTGCTCTGCAGGTTGGAGCTTTTTGGGGTGATTTGGGACAAGACTGACTCGAGCAGTTGGATTGTTGGGGTTCCCCCCCTCTTTTCTGAATACATCTCGCATGGGTGGACCTGTAAACCTGGGGAGCTCCGGTAAGCCTGAAGCTTACGGGTCTGAAATGCTGCAGGTCCCGAGCCGTGCCCAGAAAGGGGTTAAGCAGATGCTCTTTGGGGCTAGGGAATTAATCTGGAATGAGATCTTCTCCAAGCACTGGTCCTAGCTCTGCCTCTAACACTTTTGTGACCTATATCTTGTCTTGCTCTGAGCCTGATAGCACAAAACTCTTAACTCCACGAGTAGCGCTGGAGCCGTGCCTCGGGTGAGCGACTCCGGTGACTGATCAGTTGGCAACAACCGCGCGCCAGGAACTCCCTTGGATCGACTGCCTGATATTTATCCTGTGTGGGGGAATAACCCAGTGCCTCTTCTTAGGAGCAAACTCGGTTTTCAGACTGTCTCCCTCTGATAACGACTGCGTTCGTGGCCAGATTGGATGTGCTGGTGGGGACTTGGGACTTCCGATGGTGAATAGCTCACTGGTTAACTGTTGCCTGACATGTGACTGTCACCATTCGGTTGGCAAGGAGCCCGGGCACGCTTCTAGCCTGAGCAGCGGTGGCTCACGTCAGGGAGGAATAGGGGAAACACCAGCAGAGAAGCTGCATCGTGAGATTTGACGACCCCCGAGCTTAAAAACATTCATCGGCTTGTACCAAGATACCTTCTGTTTGCAAGGGCACCCCGGGGCAGCAGGAGCTCGCTGGTGTGGCCTCTTAGCTTGGTCACCAAGAGGTCTGTGACATGCTGAGGGCTGCATGCTGCAGCCCTTCACCTTTATGTATTGCTTCTTCCAAAGCAAACTCGCGGAGGGGCAGTTTTACAGCTGCGGAGACTCGCTGAAACTGCGATGCTCCGGTGTCCCCAGAACTGTCCGCTCGGGGCCTTGGCAACCAAGCAGGCGTTTCGGCCCCTCGGGTAAAGCTTTGAATTTTAGTGGTGCCTCTCTTGAACTAGGATGGCCTCGCGGGGCTGAGAAGCCCGGTCAGACCGGCTTCTAGTGATATAACTTGTCCGTTTGTATCCCAAGCTTTGGCTCTTTCAAGCTCTAGCCTAGCTTCAAGCGCCGGGTGAGCAGGCTGGCTAGCCTGGACTCACAGGACAGCGGCTAATTGCTAGAGAAACATGAAAGCAGGATGAGAGACGGGAAGAGCTTCTGGTGGAAGATGTGAGCTTAATCTCCCTGAGATCTTTGAGTTTGGTTAAACTCAAATTGTAAGCTGGTGTCCAGGTAGTTTATTTTATGGTCTTGGGGTTATGTCAGCCTCCTGCGTGTTAAGTAATCAGGCAAGTGATTCAGCTTCACTCTAAATGAACAAAGCTTTGGCGGTACCGGTGGGTGTGCCAGGACTGAGCAGGCAGCATTAAAATCACTGGAGTAACACCCGTAAGATGAAAGCTGCCTCTTGTGCTTGATAGCATGCCAAGTTCGGCATGAAGCTCTGACACACTGGAAATTGTTAGGATACACTTACTAGTTAGGACATGAACTTGCAGATGCCTGGCTGGGGCTTTTGAGCAGTTCTGGCATCTTGATTTGCCTTTAATGAATCTTGACAGGCAAAGGGGATGGCTAAAAGGAGCGAGCCACCCCGATTAAATCAACAGGGACTGCTGCAGACTGTGCTGCCGCCTTGCATTTGGAGTCCTTTTTGGATCGGCTGGTCTCAGCTTGATGGCTGGAGAGGCCGGCTGCAACCACGGGGGGGGATGAAGGGGGCAGAGACCACCCCAAAGAATGGGTTCCGATAACCTCTCCACTTTGGTGGGGGGGGGGAAGGAAGGGAAAGAGCAAACAGCTCTACTGGAAGCAGAAACAGCTGTTTGTGTGCAGTAAGGAACCTCTAATGCAAGGGAATAAGTAAAGGAGAGCCACCCCCGGCTGCTGGCAAGACTCTGGATGCTTTCCAAAGTGACCTATTTCTGATGGATTAGCTTTTTATTTCACTGTCTTGCACTGGAGTGACCCATATAAGCGCAGGGCTGTCACCAGGCTGCTCCAGGAATGCTTTCTTGCTTCTCACTGACTCTCTTTGTATCTCAGGTTGTCCGTAGTCGCCTGGAGAAGAAAGGAATCGCAGTCCATAACGTAAGGTTGAACGGCTCAGCAGCTAGTCACGTTCTACATCAAGACAGTGGCTTGGGGTACAAAGACCTAGATCTCATCTTCGGTGTAGATCTGAAGACCGAAGATGTCTTCCAGCTTGTTAAAGATGTGGTCATGGACTGCCTTCTTGACTTCCTCCCAGAAGGTGTCAACAAAGACAAGATCACCCCCATGACTCTGAAGGAGGCCTACGTGCAGAAGCTTGTGAAGGTGTGCAACGAAACCGACCGCTGGAGCCTCATATCGCTCTCCAACAACAGCGGGAAGAACGTGGAACTCAAATTCGTGGACTCTCTCAGACGGCAGTTCGAGTTCAGCGTGGACTCCTTCCAGATCATCCTGGATTCGCTTCTGCTGTTTGGGGAGTGTTCAGAGAACCCCATGGCTGAGAACTTCCACCCCACGGTCACTGGGGAGAGCATGTACGGGGACTTCGAGGAGGCAATGGACCATCTCCGGAACAGGGTCATCGCCACGAGGAACCCAGAGGAGATCAGAGGTGGGGGGCTTCTGAAATACTGCAACCTCTTGGTGAGGGGGTTTAAGCCCAAATCGGAAGTGGATATGAAGGCACTACAGAGATACATGTGCTCCAGGTTTTTCATAGACTTCTCCGACATCGGTGAGCAGCAGAGGAAGCTGGAGTGCTACCTCCAGAGCCACTTTGTTGGGATGGAGAGCAAAAGATATGACTATTTGATGACCCTCCACAGGGTGGTCAATGAGAGCACAGTCTGCCTTATGGGACACGAAAGGAGGCAGACCCTGAACCTCATTGCCATGCTGGCTGTGAGAGTCCTGGCTGAGCAGAACATCATCCCCACGGTCACAAACGTTACCTGCTACTACCAGCCAGCTCCTTATGTCAGTGAAATAAACTTCAACTACTATGTCACCCACGTGCAGCCCTTCCTGCCTTGCAATCAGTCTTACCCAACGTGGCTTCCCTGTAACTGAGCCGGGACAAACTTCAGGGTCTGTCCTCCAAGGTACTTCCTTGCCTTGGGGAGGGGGGAGTGGGGAGGGGAGGGGAGGGCGGGGGCAAAAAAAAAAACCCAGAAAAGACCTTTCTAGAACTGCAACAAAAGGAAACTTCCTGGACTCTTGCTTGAGTGTCTTGTTCCTGGGGTTGTTGGAACGAGGCCTGCCTGCTGTACACTGTGATGGGAAGTGCAGTGTTACGGAAACTAGATGACTTGGACGTTTACAGGAAGACTCGATCGCTTATTGAATTCCGGAGGCAATGGGGGAGGGTTGGGGGTGTGTGAGGGGAGATTGTAGAATTACGCTAAGGTAGAGCTGCACTGCCCTGAAATGGATCTGGATTGGTTTTTTTTTTAGTGCGGGAGGTGTTATGGGTGTGCAGACTTGTGGTTTCTGAAGATAGAAGCCAGAGTGGCTAATTCCTTTGAAGGACCAAAGAATCCTGTTTAAGTGCCTGTAACAATATAAACACAACTGTACTGTAAACCTTATTTTCTTTTTTGCAGGGGCTGACATCCCGAGAGCTTGAGTAGGGATGTCCAAAGAGGAAAATGTTTCTGTTGGGGGGTGGGGAGGGGTCATAAGATCATTTCCAGTAACCTCGCCGAAGCGAGGATGGGGTTGCAGGTTACGTGTCGCTGAGGTTTTTTTTGGCATGGCTTGCTGCCTATGAAGGACCAGCTGTAGCAAATAGCTGTCAAAGTGGAGTTGCGTAAACAGGGGTGGGCTTGGAATGACTACGTGGAAATGCCTAAAACTGGGGACACCGGGGTGGGGGGGGGAGTGCATGGTGGAAAATGCTGTGTGGAGCTTTATGGAGAAAAGGCAGCAGGGACCTACATATGAATTTACTCAAGCTCCCGAGCCTGCAGTGCCAAAATGTAATCATGTACATAAACGATGAGGCAGAAGATCTGTCCAGGAGCCTGCCCCAGGCTACCCTACCTAATTGTGTATTTTCTAGGGGAATTTGAAATGCTGCTTATTTTTTTTTTTTGGCATGCAAGTGTGGTTTTAATGCACAAAGCCAGAGGCCAGGTGGGTTATCTGGGAAGATGAGGCTTGTCCTTTGAAGCACAAACCAACTAGTTCACCAGTCTGTTATCTCCAGCTGTTGCCGTGATGGGGGCTGGAGCCCGTGTCCTTGTAGGAGACAGGCAGACCTCTTCCAGACTCTAGCCTCCTATGGCTGGAGATCTTCCCTCTGCCCTCGGGCAGGTCCTATCTTCAAAAGCAGCCTATTTCCAGCTACGCGATTCCACATGTGAGCCACTGATAGCATTTGAAATTCGTTCTCTAGCTAGAAATGGAGCTTGGGGGGGGGGGGGGGGGTGTGTGCGTGCGCGAAAGTCAGCTGGCCTTAGGAAAAAGTATGTCTTCTCTAAACAAACCCTCTTGTGTCTTGAGGGTTTGGCTCTCTTAGTCAAACATGGCTTTGAAGTTGTTGGGTGTCTAGAGCACAAACAGTCTTTCACTGAGGTGCCTGGATTGCCGTGCCCGTTCTCGTGAAACATCATCTCATACTTAACTATGCACGGACGGAGAGGTGGGCGAGCAAGCAGGCGCTCCCTAGAGATGCTGCTCTGGGAACACCATGGCTTCATGGTGCTTCCTCCGAGGCTGACATACTTGAGTATCTTTAACTTGGGGTTTTTTTTTTTTGTTTTTGTGACGAAACTGTAATAGCTGGGCAGATTGAACGCTCTAATAAAGACTAGATCCTCGGAATGTGTATAGCCAGATTGCTACCTTTTTTGGGGGTAGGGGAGGGTGGGTGGGGGGGGTGGGGGGGGGGAGTGATTTGGGGGCTCTTGCACTTACCATGAGCTAACTAATTTGCAATTGGTCCAGCTTTGCTTCCTATCCAGTCAGAGCTGAAGAAGTGTCGCTAACGATGTAGTTGTTACAGGTTTAACTGCCTTCCTGTAGAACGGCTTTGCCTTCACGGACAAGGCTGGTGTGTAGACTCTGCCACAGCCCGGTAACTCCCTGGTGCCCAGAGCCTGATCCCCGTGGTGGGAGCTTGAGATTTTTCCAGTGCAAGGTAAAACTGGTTTAAGGGCTGCTTTTTGAGGTCCTCAGTATGCCACCTTCATGGCTTCAAGGGAAGATACTGTTTTCTTGCATTTTAAACTCCAGATGAACGTAGATGACGTGTAGCATGCTCTTTTACAGGCTGCTTACCCTCTACCCCCAAACACATAGACGCACTAAACTGAGATTCCCTCCTTCCCTTTAAGATGTCAAAAAGATTCCCTACAGCCAACAGCTCGACAGGGCAACTTACGTTGAGATTGCACTTTTGATTTACGGAGTGTGTGTGGTGGGACTCTTGTGAATGGGTTGAATCTGAATTTTTCTAGACCTTGCAGTGATACTGTGCTGCCTCCTGTGAAGGGGGCAATTGGAAGATTCCAGTAGCTTGAATGGCACTTGGTTTTGTTTTAAATGTTTTTTTTTTCCTACACCTGTATCACTTGTCATGCGATGGGCTTGACATAGACTCACTAGATTCTTTAGAATCTGTTACAAATAAATACAGTGTATTCAAATTTGTTGGATTTTTTTTTTATTTGCTTGTCCATCCGGGTAGCGTGGTGGTGGGATGGCTGACCCTACTCCCACCGAGAGCCGGGCTCCGAACCAACTGGTCGCCTCAAGAGGAGCGAGCCCAGACCCTGGTTCTGGACCTGGCCGAATGCTGCTTGTCCGTCGGGCTGCTTAGTCCCTCAAACCGAAGCAGCTACGGAGCCCGGGAAGCGTGTAGCCGTCGGCAGGTCGCTCCGGCGGCTGAGGGAGGTTTCTATTTATAACGCTGTTCTTTAGTGTTGTGCGTCTTCCCTTTTCCTGGTGGCTCCTCGAGTTGCTGCTGGGGGAGGGTGGCCCGATGCGGCGGCCTGCTCGGTGTCGGTGGCGATCTGAGGTCCCTTGTCTTGGGGACGGTACTGGGAGACTCTCGCTGCTGCTGCTGCCGGCTTTCCACGACTTCATTCTCGTCTGCCGATGGTCACAAACAGCGAAAGGTTGCTTGAGTAATTAAGACCTGCTTATTTTGTGTAGCTGACCCGCCCGCAGAGCGATTCCTCTTGGAAAGGGGAGGGCGAGAGGCCTGAAAGTTTTATTTCCCGAAAAAGCTTGGATCTGCTGATGTTCAGGCCAGATTCCCGTCTGCTGGCTGGAAGCTGGCTGCCTGTAGCCGGGTGCAAGCTCCTCCAACTCTGGCGGCCCTCCAGCCTAAGATGAAGTTTCACTTCCCCCTGTCAAGCTACAGGCAGTTCTGGTTCCACTGCAACAATAGAGCCGATGACATATGCCCGTCCCTTTGGGACGAACTTGCTGGCTCTGCATCTCCAAATTTTTACGGTCCGGGGCCAAGCTTCTCTCTTGACAACAGGTCTGGGTTGCTCTTGCTGGGCTGGCACCATGTAAGACCGTGTCCCTGTTGCCCGCTCGAGTTGGGCTCTGCCCTCACAGGGCTGATTTCTCTCTAAACCTGTTGGCAGCGAGATGGGATGCCTGCCCCTCGCTGGCACGCAACCCAGCACGAAGCTCCTGCCTTCCCTGAGCGTCTCGTGTACGGGAGTGGCTCTAAAATATCTGCTTAGTTTGCCGGCTATCTTCTCAGAGCTAGTGGTCGGTCCTGCCGCTCGCTGTTGATGCTCTGGTGAATAAGCTGCCTCTGGATTTGTGACCCTGAGCAGAGCAGCAAAAGCCCTGACAGAGACGGCTTGTCATTGTTGGAGCGGATCAGGCTATACAAAAGGATGTTCGTGGAAAGTACTAGTTGTGATCAGAAAGGAGCTATCGATGTTTACAACTGAGATTTGGATCCCTCTTTTGTTAATTGTCAAATAAAAAAAAAAACCCATATATTTTTCTCACAGCCTGTAGTCTGTCGTTTATTTTT